TAGCGCCATCCACATGCTTTTTTTTTTTTGTGTGCGAAAATAAAATATACCGCACACTTTTTTTTTTTTGCGCAAGATTTTTTGAATAAGAGAAAGATAGAAGACAAGTTTTTTGATTTTTTTTTCATAAAAAAAAAAAGAAGGATTAAAGACATATTTTTTGAAATTTTTTTTTTTAAAAAAAAAGAAAAGACGAACAAAGAAAAAGTAACTGAGTTAGACAACCTTGTTAGCCAAAGAGATATTATTAGCACCTACTTAACGATTAACCTTGAAGCGGTAATATCGTTCTCTCCGTATGACATTGCTCGTAACGAGTCAAAATAACATTGAACAGTGGACGCGTGCAAGAACCAAGTTGCGCGGAAGAGCCGCGCGCAACTTCTGGACTTGCGCTTGGAAGGCGCGCACAACTTTGACAGTTGCGCGCGCCACCTGGCATGTTCGACATTTTGAATTTTTTTTTTTTTATTTTTTTTTTTATTTTTTTTTTTGTCAAATTGTCAAACCACATTTTTACGAATTTTTTTAATATCTCTAGGTAACAAGTTGGAATTAATTAGATTAGACACGAAGAATATAAGCACATATTCATGTAATCACATAACCACATAAAAGGAACCGTCAAAGCATACAATGCATTCTATGGTCAAGGCTTGGGTGTTTAAAGGTACCATATCTTAAGAACGATGCACGAATCAATCACTCAACGTGTTGACCCAATATTTTGTTGGCGATATGGGTGGGATGATTGTTATTGATTTCGGGATAGAAGCCTAGTGTTGGCGACCCCTAGTCAATGAGTCAATCCCCGTTGGTTATAGTGTGCTATGATTATGCATGATGCAATGTTGATTATTTGGTTTTTACTTTTGTGAAAAAGGAAGATATTATGCGTTCAAGTCTCACTCTCTAACTAGAGATTATCCAAGTTAGCCTTCGTTACAACTCATAGGTAACCTAAGCTGGAAACCTTGAACCACAACCAAAAGCTAATCTTGTAACCTCTAAGTCCCCACTTGAGTCGCCACTATGAGGAGGGTAGCCCGTCGCCCATTTTCTCAATGTCCATGGCCCTTTAAAAGCCTAAGAATTTACACTTTTGAAGGTGTATTAGGATTTGAATTCCTGACTGTTTGGGGGACCTTGAATTACAATTGTTTCTATAATTACGCTTTTTTATAAGAAACTAATAGAGAGTCACCAATGAGTTTTAGGAAAACTCATAAACCTTGTTCATGCCTTTCTCCCAAGTAGAGTTCAAGGGATATTTAGCACGAATCATAAGTTTACCCATGCCCAAATTGGTCTACTTGTACTAGAAATGAGTTCGGGAGCAAGGGTACTAAAATAACGTTTCCTTTAGAGGAGAATCGCTATTCTAGCCCAAGTGCGGCCTCTACTAGCTCTTCCTTTTTCACAATTTCATCACCAAACAATATATGCAACGTGATACCTAACACTAAGTTAGTTGATTTTATTTACATGCGTCAATCACATAAAGATTACATTGCAATAATTGTCGTTATTCTTATTTATTCCAAATTCGTGAAAAGAACAATAAATATTCTCCTTGACTTAGGTGATAAAATAAAAATTAATTATTCAATTCTAGTCTTTAATTAATGCAAAAATACTATGTGAAATTAATTAATTAAAGTTTATTTAAAGTGATCAATCAACACTAATTAATCAATTAAAGTTATTTAAACAAGAAAAGAAATGTGATTTATCTAAGTGCTCAGGAAACTAACATTTTTCTTTACTTGCTTAGATCTCCGTTTTATATGTTTATGGACATTCTTTCTTCTTCGTACCTCCAAGGACTTCAAATGGATGGATAAGGGTTGAAGAGTATTTAGGAAGAAAGGAGAAAAGTAGTATGATAGTAAGAGAATTTGAGAGATTAGGGTTTTAGAATTCTAGGTTTTTTTTAATTTTGATTTTCTGTTGTGTTTAGGGCTAAACAAAGACCCTTATTTATAGGCGTAGGAATCTAGGTTTAGGGTTTTAGAGCCACGCCGTCAGCTGGATACTTTCCAATAAAGGCATCTGATTAAGGCAAATAAGATATCATTATAAAGCTCTTAATGTCTACTTTCCAATGCCGTTAGGATTAGGTTAAAATCAGTTATGGATGAAAAGATATGGCCGTTTAAGTGCAAGGGTGTCAGTTTTAGGGCCCGGTTTAGTATTTTGATGATAACTTCTTCATTTTAACTTGAAATGGGGCTTATAATATACCGTTGGAAAGCTCTTTGAAAGTCCAGTTGTATAGGCCTTGAAATGATATTAGGTGGTTAAATGTTCTGGTTGGCTAGGTTTTTAACAATGTAAGATCCATTTGATCCAATCATTGCATATAACGCATTTAGATACGTTATTAATCAAGATTAAACATGTATGAGCACGTTTTAGGCTTAATTAGTAAGTGGACTAGGCTCTAAGATAATTTGGTCTCAAATATGGGTTTTAACTTACTTCATAATACATTTTGAAGTCCATAAACGCTTTAACTTTGATCTAGCATGAAGAACGGATTTAGTAATATTATCGCACTTCCCGTCGGGACAGGAGGCCAAAAGTAGGTGTCTACAGGACCCAATATGATATCCAATAATAAAAATTTTAGACTTTATAATATAGCTATTATGATATCATTCAACACTAATTAACAATAATACCACATGATCATGACCAAATTTCTAATAATATTACTAATCATTTAAATTATGACGTCATTATGAAGTAAAGTATGAGTTTAGATTTTGGATAAATAGATTTAAGTAGGAAAAACAAAGAAAAAATTGCATAACGGGTCAGATCGGATAACCATTAATTTTAAAATGATACCCAATAACCATACCCGATAACAAATTATCGGATCGGGAACCCAAACCGTTATGGTTATCAGAATGGGTACCCTAATTTTCTGTTACGATTACGGTTCGGGTTTTCGGTTTTTCAGATAATTTTGCTCAACCCTATTCTAAGGTCCATTTTCCTTGGTCAATAGGTCAAAGTCAAGATAGAAAGGTCAAAATTTTAAATTTTGGGTGTTATAGACTAAGGGTGAGCAAACCGGGTACCCGATCAAAATTTAAGGTACCGGACCCGGTATTGGTTGGAAATAAGTCCTAAAATTTGGAACCAGAATTAGAATTGGTTTAACCGGGCCCTAAAATTTAGGAATTGGAATTACAACCACCGGGTACGGGTTCCGGGTACCCACTTATTTATATAATTGTTAAAATTTAATACAAATTATGATACTTATTTTTAGTCTATTTTGATTTATAGCATTTAATATTATATGTATATATGCATTAAGATATTTAAATTATGTTAGGTATTAATAATATGTTTTTTATTTTACTAACTAGATGCCTTCAACTTATTTTTGTTTTTTTTAAATATTATTAGTTGAATATATATATTCGGTAACCGATCGGTTCCGGTCCAAAAAATTGAGAATTGGAATTGGAACCGGTTGCAACCGGTTCCTTAGTTTATTACCCAGAATTGGAACCACCGGGTTCGATTCCGGTTTTGAACGCACCGGTTCCAGTTCTAATTTCGGGTATCCAGAATTTTTACTCACCCCTATTATAGACGTATATTCAACCTTGATAAAAAAATGTCAAAATGTTACCATTATTTCGAAAGAAAGAGAGTTCATGAAAGCTTACAATCTTTTTATACGCGCTCTACCTCTTCCTCAAAAAAAAAAAAGAAAAAAGCTTACAAGCTTTTATACGCGCTCTAGCTCTTCCCTCCAAAAAATAAAAAAAAAATTGCGCTCTAACTCTAATAGTCTAGTGTACTTTACACAAGTCTTTACTCACATACTAACCCAATAAATAAACAAAATTAAGAATGGTAATCTCCCACATAATCACATGATGTGCATTTAAATTTGGTGGGCCATGCTTGCTTTTTGGTTACATTTTAAGGTGTTTCCAGGATGTTACTCGAATAACTCGATCCATTTTGCCGTCGGTGTGCCCATCTTGAATAGGTTCTTAGGACTTGCAATTAACATTCTATTAAAGTATTAATAGATCTTATTCAGATATTCTATAAGGCCCATTCACTTTACTTTATTTTTGCTGAGAAAATTATTTTTATTCAATTTAAATTATTTTTGCTGAACTTAAATTATTTTTACTAAACTGAAATTATTTTTACTGATTTTCTATTATATTTCTTCTTTAAAGTTACCTAAATTTATTTTTACTGTACTTAATATTATTTTTTTAAGGTGAAATGAACAGGGCCTAATATGGAGATTCAAAATGTGTTTAAATTAGTTTTAATATAAACAATATTTATATAAGTAGAATTTTAAACAAAAGGAAAATCAATATTATTGTTGTTTTAAATCTACAATATTAATACCGAATTTATATGAAGTATAAGTTCCTGTTCACTTCACCTTAAAAAATAATATTAAGTAAAAATAATTTCAGTTCAGTAAAAATAATTTCAATTCAGTAAAATTCAGTAAGTTTAAAGAAGAAATATAATAGAAAATCAATAAAAAATAATTTCAGTTCAGCAAAAATAATTTCAGTTCAGTAAAAATAATTTATGTTCAGCAAAAATAATTTCAGTTCAATAAAAATAATTTAAGTTCAGCAAAAATAATTTCAATTTAATAAAAATAATTTCAATTCAGCAACAATAAGGTAAAAACGGAGCCTAAACATAAATAGTGAATTTTGTACCGAATTTTAGCTCATGGTCTACCACTGATTTCCCTTTTGTTTGGTTTATGCATTTCATGCCGACTAAATATAAACAAAATTTTAAGTGGAAGAATCAAATTTAATAGAGAGTGATTGATTGCGCCAATCAACTTGAAATATACCAAAAAAAAATAAAGGCTCTCGCAAATGCGGAAATGGCTATAAATAAGCTTATAAGCCTAAAGGCTAGAGGGTATGCACAATACAGTACACTCAAGTGTACAACAGAAAATTGCCAATAACAAAAGAGAATGAAGAAAAATACTACACTTGAAACAGTTTATTAGTAGTGAACAAACTAAAATAATCATAATGTACAGATGTATATTCTATGCTTTTGGAGATAACAATAAATTACACGATTAGTCAACGTCACCAAAATTGCCAACTTCATCTTTTAAATCACCGACACAAATCAGCCAAATACTTTCATAAAGGGAATTTCTATGTCCACTCCCAAAATCCCTTCTAACACACCACCTAGCGCGAACACAATTGTGAATTTTACAAAGCGAGTGTAAAAGATGTTTTTGAGAGTGAATATAGCAATTTCCCTAACAAAGAGCTAGTAGTACAAGGGGACCTATTTACTTCTCTCATCTTTGTATTTCATAGATAATTTATTTATCGAAACAGGTTTAAAAAAATGAAAGTATTCACCTGAGTTTGAAATAAGCACAGGCAAAACTCTTGGATTTAACGTTTGTGTAACTAAGTTGTGGTGCCTGAAGGGACGAAAATGTAAGCAGGTTTGTGTTGTACTGCCTTACGTTCTGTTCTTTTGTTGTTCTTGGTATTGCCTTCTTACCATTTCCGCGAAGAGAAGCTCGTTCCATGAGTCAGGAACTCCTGGAAGGCACCAATGACTGCAATCTTGAAATTTCAATGGCGTTTTCTTCTCTTCAGTGGAGAGACGTTGCTTCCGGTAGACTGATGGGTGTGCATCTTTCCTATAATCTGTCAATTTTGTGATATTTAGGTAGGAAATAGGGGTTTTCATGCCCCTCATTACCGTCTCAAAAACTTTCATTTTCCATGGGTATTTCTCTAGGTAATTGTCATTTGTAATGGGTTCGGTCTCGCTGTCACATTGCCCCCCAGAATTCCATTGCCCACCTCTGCAAACAGAAAGAGGAAACATAATTCATAATTGGTTACCTTTTGCTTTTCAAGTTCTATATGGGAAAAAATACATCGTAAATAAAATTCATTGATAAGATATGACATTGATATACCATTAGAAAATATCATCATAAAATTCATGTGAATTATATCAAACTAAGGTTCCAACTTCAAATATGTGATTGAGCTATAATTAAAATAGTAGCTAGTTCTCTTCACCTACTCGAATGTACTACTTTTAATACAGATATTCGCTGATAAAAATAGGACTTTGCTTGTGGAATCTGAAATCATAACTCACTTATTACCAAATTCATCAAAATTGGTTATGTCGATAAAAACTGATTTTCATTAGTTGCAGAGAACAAGGCATGTGTAAGTAAGCTTTCACTAGTGAGTAATAACTTTGTAATTAAGGCAAAACCCATTCAAGAGGTAACCCTTTCAATAATTCATCAAGTTTAGACGCTTTTGATTGTCTAAGTTTCAACCCATAAGCATTTGACCTAGGGGTATGACTATTGGTTTCTCTTCATTTGACTAACAAGTTATGTGTCGTAAGAGTCTACTTGATCGAATGATAGTTATATACTCCTGGTTCTATATAATGATCACTTTTTGTTTATTAACTTATCGATCAGAATGTTGATCATGGGCAAGGTTGGTAGTAAACCTATCGATCAGAATGTTGATAATGGGCAATGTTGGTGGTAAACCTGTGATCATAATATAACATGTTCTATGAATATACAAATGACCTAACTAGAAAATGTACACGGTCCACATAATAGAAAGGGGAATGAGCATGCCTATTCTATCAAATATTACCATCATGAAAAAATGAGTGACAATACTACTAATTAGATACAAGAACATTAGAAAATATTGAATATTATGATGATATTGGGTTCAAACAGACCTGAAATGTGTACTGGAATAGCCGCGGAAGAAGACATGCGTCTTTTGGGGATCAACATTGTTGTCAACCCATCTACCCCAAGTTGTTATAGCTTTTCGAAACGCCTCCTGAACATCCAATTGTTTGTAGACGTTGCTGCCTTCTTGGTAATAATCTTCCCTGCCATTTGAAATCAAACAAATTTAACCTCAAGTAAAAAGAGACAATGTGTGTACAATGATGATAAGAAAAAGAGCAATTTAGGTACCCCTTTGATGTCTTCTCATGCGTCCACCAATGCCCGGTATTAAAAATTACAATGTCTGCACTCTTGAAGTGTTTGGAGTCATTGACCACGAGATCAAGTCGAAGAGTTTCCTTGGTTGTTCCATTCTTGTCTTTGAACTCCCATTCTTGGACTAAGAAAGGAGCTACAAAGAACTCTACGGTACAATTATAATCCTACTCAAACACCCAAAGTAAGCCGAATTAGTTCAACAATCGCAAAACTCAAAACATAGAGAGAGGATAACTAAAATTAAGAGGACAAAACTTACTTTGAATACAAAAGTGTAAGAAGCTTCATTCCGAAAATAATGCCTGCCAGAAGCTTCATAAACGTTCTTCGGATTTTTGGCGGAGTTCTTAAGAATGCAAACCAAGGATTCCCACATATTTCGATTCAGCGAATCTCCAACAAAAACTAGTCGCTTTCCCCTCAATAACTTCAACATTTTCCTTCCATCCAATCTGTAGAGTTCATCCAATCAAAGCGTCGGTGAACAAGTAATTTCAGTTGAAAAAGAAAGATATAGTCAAGTAGTTTGAATACTTCAGCAAGTTTACTCAACTCAATCCAAACAAACATACATTCAATTCAAATTGAAATTAAGATGAAAAACAATAGACTATTAAACTTCAATCAACAAGATTGAAATTTTAACATAATTAGTCAAAAGTCTAAAACTAATCAAAATTTAATCCTTCAAAAATCAGGAAGATCGAATTTTCAGGAACAAAATAAACAAAATCACAATCTGTTGCGCAAAATTAAAGTCTCCAAAATCATAATTACTGATAATGTCACAGACATTAATTTATTTACCATATAAAATTCAAGTAAAATCAAACAGATCCAAAACTGCCAAGAAAAAAAAAAAAAAAAAAAAAAAAAAAAAAAAAAAACATTATTCCCATTAACCTTAACTTATGATCTAGCATCAATATTTTAATCGACCAAATTTGACAAAGAACATACTCATATCACACACATTCAAACATTTATGGAAAAAACTTATTCAATGTGATACCAAAAAAAATCATATCATATGAAGCAAAAAAGGTAAATTAGCAAATAATTTACTAAAAAAAAAAAATATACCAAAAATATGAAGGCATTAAAAATAATAATTAAGCAAAAAAATTACCTAGGCAATGTGCAACCTTTAGGCTTCCATTTAAGCTTTTGATAGTCATTATCAGGTCTACCATTAAGAAAACAATTAAATTGTTCATCAATTAGTTTACATGATCCGGGTTTATAAAGCGGGTATGATTCATCTCTAACCCATCCACCATCATACAAATCACAACCAATTAATGATGCAACCAAACTCTTCTTTTCATTCCCCTGTTCATGAACTTCCCCTGAAACGACACCGTTTTCATTGTGATTGCTGCTGTTACTATTATTATCCTCTTTCTTTGGCAATGAAGTTGGGAAATCTTTCACTTCTTCCCCACTTCCTTTCGCACTCGTCGAATTCGTTATCGTTTCGATACTCGAATTCGGTGTAATGGGAGGGATTTGAGGGGGAGATACTACTACACTAGTACTCTGATTCCTCTGCTTTTCAGAAACAGGAGAAATTTTTGGTGAGATTTGAGGAAGAATTACACTACTCTGATTAGTCTGCTTTTCGGGGTAATCTGTATTATTACTGGGGTTTATTTTTTCATCTTGTTTTGGTAAAATTGGAGAGATTTCAGGGGAGATTTGAGGCAAATTTGTGGTATTTTGGGGAATAATATCAGTATAATTAGGGTTAAAGTTTTGAACTTTATCAGGAGGAACTTGGGTATCTGTCAAATTATCTGTAAAATTTGAAAAGGGTGATTGAAATGAATCAAAATTTTGAGATCTAGAAGAATTAATTTCAGTAGAGAAATTAGAGGGAAAATCAGATCTGGGAGATTGATCAGTAAAATTAGGAGGAGAAGTAGAATTAAGAGTAAAATAATTGAAGAACCAAGTAGAAGAAGAAGTATTGGTTGAAGAAGGAGAAAAGGCTAAGAAAACAGTAAAAGCAATGAAAACAAAGACAACTCCATAAACAAAAGCAGAGGTTTTTCTGGTTTTGAAGAGAGAAAAATAGCCTTTGAAATCTGTAGTAATGTTGTTATTATTTGGGACTAATTGGTATTTTGTGGATTCTGCCATTGTTGAAGGGTTTGTTGCTTAACTGTTTTGGAGGAGAGAGAAAGAGAGTTGGGAAAAAAAGAAAAGAGACGAGAGGAGAGAGAAAAGTGAAAGGGGTTTATGGGTGGGAGAGTATAATTAGTGGACTATGAAGACGAGTGTCAACAGTTCAACACATACTCTTAAACACTTCCAGTTAATTGGCATACTAGTAAAACACATAACTCAACTCTAATAATGAGTTGGATCGCGTTTAGTTTGTCGGGTTTCTTGATCTTATTATTCTGAATAATGATGGAAATTCTTCTTGATCTTATTATTTGGGGTAATGCTATAGGGGTATATACAAGCATTTATAATATATATATATATATATATATATATATATATATATATATATATATATATATATATATATATATATATATTTAAGTATTAACTTGAAAATTTATCGACAATTTATGAGTAAATTGGTGTAATTAATATTTATTTATTGTTTATTCTTTTCACTTTTAGCTTCTTGTATGCAGCTCTTAGGGCTACATTTATCTTCTTCCTATTATTAAATATGTTAAGAACCCTGATTTTTTTTGGTAAAAGGTAAAAACTGTAGATCTTTTTGGGGCGTTAATCAGATAAGGTAACAATCATTATTCAGATTGACGTGTGATTTTGACATGCATTTTAAGATTAATACTTATTTCGTTTTTTTAAATTGAACCATTTAATTGGGGCATGAGCTTTAAGAAAAAGTGTAAAAGATGGAGTATGCCAAAAGTGTCCATGTGTTTAAAATTAAAAAAAAAATAAAAAGGATAGAAAAGATGAAGTAATAATGGTTGTTATCACATGTGACCAAGAGTAGATAGGGAATTTTGTGTATGAACTCAACCAAAAAATGAAAAATCATACCTTATAGGAAAATGGTGCAATTAATATGCAACTTCGAAAAGAAAAATGGTGCAATTAAGGAAAAAAAAAAACAAAAACAGAGGAAAGCCTTGTTCACTTCACCTTATTTTTGGTGAGCTGAAATTATTTTTACTAAAACGAAATTTTAATTGTTGAACGTAAATTATTTTTATTGTATTGCAATTAATTTTACAAAATTGAAATTATTTTTGCTGAACTGAAATTATTTTACCGATTCTCTGTTATATTTCTTCTTTAAAGTTACTGATTTTTACTAAACTGAAATTATTTTTACCATTGGCGGACTTACATACAACTTAGTGGAGTCAAGTGACCCCACTTGAACTTGGAAGAAGGAATTTTTTTCCCTCTAAGATTAAGCTTTTTTCCTAAATAATTAAGTTTTTTTTCCATAAAATTACTCACTTGACCCCATTAAAATTTGTAAAATGTTATTTGACCTCGTTAAATATTTTTTCTAGATCCGCCACTTTATTGAAATGAACTTATTTTTACTGAACTAAAATTCTTTGTATTGAATATTTTTTTTTTAAGGTGAAGTGAACACGGCCGAGGTATCATATTTTATAAAAATTTACATTTTTATCTAACGCCCTTAGACGCTTGTTAACCTAAATCCTTAATTTTTTGTTGAATAAAAGGCAAATGTAAGGGTTTTAGAACGAGTTGCCTACAACACTAGGTAAGAAAAAGAAGGATATTGTAATTTGAGGTAAGGGTAGTTGGCCACTGCACTTTGTCGGGTGGAGCCACCCTCATCAGCCATGAAATTTAGCTTAATTCAATTCATTTGTTTGTGCGGTCGGACATGAAAGCAACCTGAAATCAAGTAGGTTCCTCGCCCGACTAGGCACAGATGCGTGACCGTAAACCTAATGATCAGGCGCAAATGCGTGATTGTAAACCCAAAATGGCCTTTGTGTGAGAGTGTTGTATTGTGTTAACCTTAGTTAACGAGTCGACGAATAGAATTAAGTGAAAGGAATGGTGTCCTTCCAACAAGTGTATTATTCTTATAGAGGGTTCAGAATTATTACAGAGCTAACTCTTCAGTAAGGTCAAGTGATCGAATGCCTAGGTGGAGGCCGCTTTCGATCAGTAATATTAAGGTATAATTAATATTACAGCTTAATCTTAACTGAACCCTTCGGGTCGAACCCAATCGAACAATCGATCCGAGATGACGAATTAACCCGAAAGATTTAATGAGTCGACGGAGTTTTACGAATATAGACGTCGAATATCGAGCCTAAGGCGTCGAGACCGAGCGTCGCAAAATCACAAGCAACAAGTACGATCATAATCGTAGCATCACATTGGCCTAGCCATGTGAAGTGCTAGGCTAGGCTAGCCCATCGCAAGCCTAGGTGCACCATGTGTGTGCTAGGCGCGCCATACATGCTAGGCACACTAGATTGCCCATCGCAGCACCATGTGCGTGTGTGCGTGCCTTCGCATGGCACAACACCACAGCATGCGTGCTTGGGTGCCTAGGCACTATCGCAGCCAATCTCACCATCGCAGCCCCAAGCACAACACTATCGCATGGCTGGGCCAGTGCGTGTGTGCGTGTGCTTGTGCCTAGGCCTGTTGCACCATCGCAGTGTTGGGCACTTACGTGTGTGTGCGTGTGCGTGTGCTTATGCCTAGGGCCATCGCAGCATCACAGCACCAAGCTTCGCATGCTTGTGCGTGTGGCTAGCGAGGCGATGCTAAGCATGCGTGGCTCGCTAGTAGCACGCATGCTGGGAAGTGCGAGGGGCCTTGCGTGTACGTGTGCGATGGCGAGAGAGGCAAGGGGCCAACACTTGCTAGCAGCTTCCAGCGCCTAGCAAGCATCATCATAGACATCACCCAGCACAGCAGCATGCAGCGCGCATGACTGGCTGGGCTGATGCTTGCTGCCTTGTGTTGGCTGGCTGTGCTAGCTGGCAATGCTAGCTGGCGTGCTAACTGGCAGCAGCCCAACAGCCCCTTGATGCCGGTTTTGTGAGGGGTGGGGACCAAGGCTTGGGCAAAGCCTTGGGGAGAAAGGCAATGGTCCCCCCCCCCACCTATTCATGGTCCTCACCTAACCCTCTCTCTCCCCTTGACACTAGTTGCATTGTGATTGCATTTAATTAATTATTTAATTTAGAATTAAATAAATTAATGCTTTTGCACATGATCCCACATTGATCATGAAATGGGATTCAAGTTCCCATTCTCTATAAATACCCACATGGTTGGGATTTTTGAGAACAACACTTGAGTGGAAAAGTAAAGGCAACTTCATTGTTGAGTATACCTTGAAATTCGTAAAACTCCAAGTTTATATTTGTCCGGGCCTCGACTAACCTTCGAGGCTTAGGACGCTCGGGTCGGGTTCGAGGGTACGATCCCGTCAGAGGCCTCGTGTTTTCGAGGTTCAAGTAAGAGCTCATAGTTGAGTGAAGCACGCGTCAAAGGTATAATCTTTTATCCTTTATTATGCTTTTAATTATGTTTTGCTTGTTAATTGCATTTATTATGGGGGCGGGTCTTGGCGGGTTTCATTCCGCGTAGTGTGGGTCACTACGAAACCCTACAGCGGTATCGGAGCCACGCTCCTTTTAATTTTTGCAATTATTGATTAATTAAGGTGTTTTAAAGTAAGATTTAAATTCTGGTTTTGTTTTTCTAATTAGATTAGAAGCTCGTTTTAATTAATTTTAAAACTCGTATTTTTATCGATTTGGCTGTTGAACCTAGATTTTGGCTCAAAAATAGTGATTTTTGGGTGGAATCGACATTCTGAAACAGATTCAACTCTCTTTGAGGAATGTCTAGAAGCCAAATTTGAACCAGAAACCCAAGTTTTTGGGGTTTTTTTCGTTTTTCAACGAAAATTTTAAATCTTTTTAAGCCTTGATTAATGCAAGCATTACAAGGTTAGATTAAATGCATTATTGCATCCCTAATCTACTGCAATTTTAATTATCCTTGAGCATAATTATGGAGTTATAATTAGTGCTTGAGTTGATATGCTATTTTTCACACAAACTTGTTTTTTCACAATTATGCAAATAAATGGCATTAATGTGTGAATGTTTGATGTGAATGTGTAAATTTAAGTTCCCAAGTATGTTAAAGTTCTAATCTTTAAAGTTTAAATGATTGGAACTCTAACCCTAAATTCCATATTGAACAAAGTTTGGATTTTTCATTTTGGTTGATTAAAATCCATGAAGTTCAAATACTTGTGAGTAAAATTTCGATTAATCTTCATATTGGAAGATGTAATCTTGGTATTTTACACAAGTATGAAAGTTGAAAAATTTTTATCATTAGATGGTTAATTTATTTTTCCAACTCTCTATTTGTCAAATCCATTATTAATTTGCATATTGACTAAATTATTTATGGACATAACTATTTCAATTTTAAGCATAAAGAAAGACCTAAAATTGTTTCAAAATAAATTTTTGGATGATTTAGGCTTGTGCACCGTTAAAATTTAATTTAATTAAGTTGGACTTATATTATTTTCATTTTTCCCTAAATTAATTCTAAAATAAATTTAGATTAATTTTATGTCACACGTAAATCGAGATTAAAATCCCGAGAAATGGCACGCAAATCAAGGCAAAAACACCCAAGCGCCACCAAGGCTAGCCGGGCTGCCTAGCAGCCCACATGTGTCTTCCTATGGTGCGCATAGGGGTGTTCCTTGAGGGGCTGCTATGTGGCATGGGAGTTGCGTGCTGCCGTAGTGCTAGGTGCGTGGCTGGGCTGGTGGAGTTGCTTGTGCGTGCTGCTGGGCAGCGAAGCAGCAAGCCCCAGCCAGCCTGCCATACGCTGCCAGGCACCAGCTAGCAAGCTAGCATGCACAGCATGCGTAGCGAGCTGCTAGTGCTGGTTGGCGCAGTATGCTACGCTGGGCGTGGATGCTGGCACACAGCACAGCAAGCGTAGCACATGGGCTGCATAGCAGCCATGGTGCGCACCCACCAAGGACTTGTGTGGGCTAGTTTGCTTGATTTTGAGCTATGTAATTTTGCGAAAATTTTGCCGTTTTAATTAATTTGTGTAATTATTTTTTTACGAGGTTAGACCTCGATTTTTCCGGCTTTTGCAAAATTTCGTTTTTGACAAATTGTGGGTTATGTCGACTTAATTAATCGGATTAATTAAGTATGGATGCGGAATTTAGTGGGAGCTTAGTTGATTACTTGAGCAATTTGCTTTTAGAAATAATGGATTAAACAACTTTGGCTAGTTTTA